AACTCTTTGGAAAAATCAGGATAGACGAGGATTGGTTCCTTTGTCCGTAGAGCTTTACAGTCTTCGAATGTCTTGATGTACCAGGGTGCGGCAGAGAGGATGGACGGTTTTAAAAAAATCATAAAATAGTTAATTTTTACTCGAAAACAAATTTATTGATGGAGTCAGGTTCACAAGGAAATAGCATTTGAGACAGTCAAGTGTGGAAAATCATATCAGGCATGTGGTGGCCGAAATCGTTGATGCAGTGCTGGAGGCGTTCTTGGAAGTTCGCGTAGACTCCCTCCAACATCGCTCTCTCAACTTGGGCGACTTCCACCCGAATTTCGCCCTTCAATTCGTCCAGAGTTCGGGGCTTGTTTGCGTATACTCTAGCGTTGAGGTGTCCCCATAAGAAAAAATCGTATATGGATAAATCTGGAGACCGAGGAGGCCAATGAACATCACCAAACCTGGAAATAAGGCGACCAGGGAAGAGAGGGCGAATAACGTCCATGGATGCTCGGGCTGTGTGGGCGGTCGCCCCATCCTGCTGGAACCACACACGTCGGATTGGAACACGTCGCCGTCGTAATTCAGGGAGAAAGAAGTCGGTGATCATGTCGACGTAGCGCTCTGAGGTCACGGTAACATCACGACCATTACCGTTTTCGAAGAAGTAAGGGCCAATGATGCAAAATTGCGATACAGCGCACCAAACAGTTACTTTTGGCTGTGCAGAGGTCTTTCGTGCAACTGTTGCGGATTTTCATTAGCCCAATAACGACAATTCTGCTGGTTAACCATGCTGTTCAGGTGAAAGTGGGCTTCGTTACTCATAGGCGAAAACGCGGTGCTCCACCGTATAAGGCTCCATAACGACAACTGGTAAAATAATTCTAGGATCTCACGAGTCAAACGGCACCCTCCCCACCTCTCTCGTAGACGGAGGCGGAGAGTACTACCCATCCCAAAAACGTCCGTCCTCTCTGCCGCACCCTATACAAAGGGTCATTGACGTTTATTTGAGCACATTTTCTCAAACAATTTGAGAACGGTTTCGTGATATCAGCAAAATTTTTAATGAATTTCCGATAATAGCCTAATAAGCCTAAACATGATTTAATTTCTGTTGTTCTTCCTCGAATAGGATAATTATAGCACTGGTCTTATCAGGGTTGGGCTCGATTCCATCCGGAGTGATTATGTGGCGAAGAAAGGTAAGTTCTTTTTTCAGAAATTCTGATTCATTGATTTGAATTTTCAAATTGCTTTCTCTAAACTTTTTAAATATTTTTTCAAGTTAATTATGTGCTCTTGCAATGAAGTGGAAAATACAATGATATCATCTATATACTAAACATATTTTATGTTTCTTACGATATTGTCCATGGCCCTTTGAAATGTCGCAGGGGCCTTCTTCAAGCCTAAAGGCATCATAGGATATTCAAATTATGGTATTACCCTCTCGTATATTTAGTAAACATCTTATCATTGCTATATATTCCCAGTATTTTCTTTTCTTACGAGTTCTTGTTAATTATGATGTCAATGATGTAAGTGTGTACTTTCTTATATTGATGAGTAAATGTTCTTGTGTACTTTCCCATCATAACAAAGTCGTTCAAGATACCGATTTACTACAAATACTCGTATTGTTAGAGATAAGATTACTCTATACCTTGCTGTACAACCTTCAACACCTCAATAAATAATTTGAAGTGGTTCGACGCCTATTTTATTTAATTCTCATATTCGCCGTGTTCGACAATGAAATTTGGTGAAAACCAGAAACCACTAGCAAGAGAGGTAGAAAAGTACATACATCCTCCACCAAGTTTGTCAAGTATGTCTTTAATATTAGGAATGGGGTAAAGGTGTTCTTTTTTATATATATACCGAAGCAGCCGCGCAGGTAGAAGCCTAAATGCCAGGTTACCGCGGCTACTATGCGGATCCCAAAGAAATTTCCGATTTTTGAACTGCTTAAGGTTAGTAGAACTAGGAAAAGTCTTGTAGATTGTTCCACAATCTCGACACCCTCGGGACAAAAGGAGAGGCTAGTTCTGGATGTACGAAGTTCGACACGGTTAGGATGCGAGGACAAAGACAGGCGCGTCTGTCTGACAGGCACAGCGCGCGGAGGCATCATGGAAGAGAGCTCTGAGAAGTTAAGCCTGTTGGTGCAGCGCAGGGTGGTGAAACTCATACGGGCAGATGGGAAACAAAGCAGTGTTGCTGGGTCACAATATGACAATCATATCGCACCCTCAAAAAATGGCGGCTGACGTTGTCTGATTGGTCAGTTTTAAATTTCCGGCGGGTTTCTTCCTGTGCTCTGTGCTTTGCAAAAAGAACCTTTTTTTTTCAGCATGTCATTTTGTTAACATATCATTTTTAATTCATTAAAATCCCTATTATGTTATTTGAAACATGCCTTTTGTTTAGAGTTGCGAAGTATAGAAATATAAGTACACAAAGCTGTAATATATTTGTAAATATTATAAGTCAAGCTCCAAATCAAAACTGTTTCTTTTTTTAAGCTGATCCAAGTCAGTAGCCAGCTTTCTGGCAGATCCTGAGGAAGATAAGAGATGCAGCGGTTACTCATTTGGGGAATTTAATATTTGAAGATCGTACCTGTTTGTACCTCCACATCACTTTTTGAACAGGGGAGTGCTACGAAAAGTTCAACAGCTGCCGTAGTCAACCCTGCGGTCACGAGAATTATCAGAAGTTCGGAGATTACTTCTAATCTAACCAAAAGGCCCACCTCTGAAGGATTTTTGCAGACTATAACGTTTGTAAGGTTTTTATATGACTTGTTAACCAGTGATGATTTGTACTGCTTTTTGTCCAAATTAGTTTCCATACTTCGTTTTAAATCAGCTATTTTCAGAACAGCTGCGTTGATATGCAAAGCTCACTATAATTGCAATGAAATCGTAGCCACTTATTGTTATTGAACAATAACATGGGTGCCCACAGGGCAGTGTCAGGGGGGCGATGGTCTGTTCTGGGAATCGGCTTTGACTTTGAAAATTCCATATTTAGCATGCTTTTGTGTACAACTTTGAGATTTTTTAGGATTTGTCCCCCCCTGAGAAAATTGCTACCTCTACTCATCAAGAAATTTTGGGGGCAGGTATAATTTCACAAAAAGTTATCTCTTGCACCTTTGAGAAAAACTCCTGTGGGTACCCATGGACAATAATATTATTGTTCTAATAAAAAAAGAAATCTGTGAATTGTAGTAACATATCAACACAATTCAAGTTTTTCCTGATTTTTTTGTAGAAAAATATGTCAGATTTATATAATGAATATATATTTAGGTATTTGCAATATATGTTTTTCTTTTGAACCTTTCTAGATTAGTAAGCACTTATTCGTCAAGATAGCGCAAAATGTTAATAGCACATGCTGTTATAAGATCTCCCATATAACACCTAATTTCTATATATAAAAGTATGGCAATCTCAGATTTATTTGTAGAGTTGGCGACGTTGCGGGATATTAATGCACAATCTGGCAACCATGTCACACCCTTAAAAAATGGCCGCTGACAACTACACAAGTCACCGTGTTGCCATTGAATAGCACGAAATTAAACCTTCTTCGGTGTATATGTTTTGTGGTGCAGCGGTAGAAGTGAGCTAGTTGGCCGACGGCCCGCCGATGCGGAAGGGCGCCAAGATCGCCTATTAGGCGATGTTCCAATCTACTAAACGTAGCGATACCATGCATCGATTCGTATCGTTTTAGGAAGTATCGATACTCTAAAATATCGGAATAAAAATATCGATACTACACGTACGAAACCTTTCGATACGGAACACACTGCCGAAAATCGGAGGTTTTTCTACAACCTCCAAAAATAATGGTTACGTTTTTCAAGTACATGACTAGATTGCTCAAAAACGTTCACAAATAAAAATAGGTGGTAACAATAACTAATAATTCATTAGAAAACGAATCCTATTATTTACTTTAACATTTTAAACGAAAACAACTATAATTTATATTACAGATATGCTTACTGAACATACTATACAGGGTGACTTCGAAGTTGAGTCATTATTTTAACAGTGCGTAGATCTGATCAAAGAATGTTTTCTTACTTTACCATTTTTCTGGTAAAATTAAAGTAAACAAAGTTATAGCCCTTGGAAGTTTGAGTACCGCCCTGTCTCAATAACATCATGTGCTCGTGTTTGGCAACACCGGATATAATCCACCTTATCGGTTCATCGCATCGGAAACAAAAAAGCGAAAGAATTTGGAACGATGTTTACTTTATTCAGTTCAGTTATACATACAATCAGTGTCAGTCGCGTGTGGCAAATGGCACATGTTTATGCGGATCGGTTTCCCAATCGAGTGCAACCAATCCCTCGTGCCTTTGTTAATAGTAGTACAACGGGCTCGTGAATCAGGTGACTTCAGACCTCACAGGGGACCTCACGATCAAATACAGGTCCGCACTGAAATACTTGTCGGGAGGATACTTTATAAAACAAGGTAAAAATTTTTTTTTATTTTTTTTTTATTTTTACACACATATTTTGGTTTATCTTCCTTCTACAAACATTATCTGAAAATTAATGACTCAACTTCAAAGTCACCCTGTATAAAGCAAAAGGTATTAAAAAACAATATTACAAATAACTCAAAGTTCAAAATCTTAGAAATTCTAGTCTTCAGCACCCAGCGAATGTAAAAATAATAGTCCTGACATTCGTTCAACAGATCATCTGTCTCGGCTTTGGCAGAGTATATTTCCGGCTTCAGAAAATGATCTCTCTGAGCGAACTGTTGTGCCAACAATTGAGATATATTTATTAGCCAGTTCTTTAAATATCTTCGAGGAAGCACTGAAGCTATTCCAATACAAAAAGGGATTCGAGTTCAGGGGTATGGTATGATTATTTAAATACAGTTGTAGCTCATGATCAATATCTGATTTAGTATTACCATATTTATCTGCGTGATTTTGTGCCAGTTTTTCATGGTAGGCCCACTCAGATTTTTCAACAATATTAATATGATTTTGCCCTGCTTTTTCAGTATTTATTTCCTTCTTGCGCAACTGAAATGACTAATTTAGGAAAGTGACTGCATATTTGCACACGAAATTGGACTGTTAAAGTGCAATCATTTAAAACAAGGGTCTAGGATATTTGGGACAGCTAAAAGCTTAATCTGTTTTATGCTTCCAAAACGTTTTGAAAGCTCCTCGAAAGGGTCAAATTTTCAATTTTTTAAACAGGCAATTTTATAATAAAATAACATTTTACATAATACCTTCCCAGTAAAAAAATCTCCCCAAAATCTTCTCGATTCAAATAAAAATCCCCTGGTTTTTGGGGAAAACCCCCTAATATGGCAACCCTGAAATCAAAAATAAATTATATGAGGTGAAGTTGAGTAGCATCAGCGGTAGGAAACAAAGAAGAAAAGTAATCTGATCTTGAATCTTGAAATTAAAGGCATTCCGGCCACCATAAGGAGCCAGTGCATAGGCCGATTAAGCGGGCTCTTATGCACCTCTACATTCCTTAGATCACAAGCCTCGCCCTTTCAGCGAAGTTGAGAATCGCATTGAGTCCAAGCTCCTTGACGTCCTGAGGGTCCAAAGTAATGGACCCCAGTATAGTCTGCCTATAGTAGCTCAGAGCTTCATAGCGACACAAAACGTGCGCCGAGGTCTCTTCCTCTACCCCGCAGCGTTCACACAAGGGATCCTCAGCCACCCCCATCACGTGTAGGTGACGCCTTAACGTGTTATGGCCACACAACAGTCTCACCAGCAATCTTAGGTTGGCTCTATCCAAAGAACGTCCATTCTTAGCACTGGGCCCTTCAATGAGTTCCCGTGCCTAGCGGAGATGTCTGGAGATACTTCTCCATTTTTGATAGTGCCAGGCAATCCAGAGCCTCCCTGCATTGCAATACAAGGCTCGAAGTAATCTTACAGGCACTTAGTGCTTTCAGTTGCAGTCTAGGCTGTCGGATAAGATTGTTATTCTTCTCCTATGACCACTCTCCTCCAGAATGTGAGATACACAAGCCACAATCGCAAAGATTTCCGCCTGGAAAATAGTGGTGTATCTACCGAGAGGCAGAGATAGCCTAGTTCTAAACCTAGAGACCCCAGCACCTGAGCCCTCATCGGTGACCGAGCCGTCCGTGTACCAGACCTGCCTTAAACCAGAAGCCAGAAGCTTTGTTGACGTCGAGAGACAAGAGCACCCGTCTTATGCCTGAATGTTACTTCCCGCATAGTGTACTGAATCCTTTGAGTCGATGGCACTTAGTCGTGGGAGGGCATCCATGGTGGAGTTGGCAGCAAAGATCATGGCAAGCACATCCGCTTTAGCCTTTGAGTCGGTTACAATCGTTCCATCCTGACACGTAAGTGGTGGAAGGCACCTCTGTGAGAAGTTCCTGCCAATTTGCTTGGGCAGCGTCCAGAAAGACCAACTGCCATTGCGCTGCGACATTATCCTGTGCCTAACTTTTATATCGGGCTGGTGTTTGGCATTGCGAACCGCTTCGTTATATTTGCTACGGCTTGTTTGTTCTTTACAGTGGAATTTTGCAAGATGGTTCTGAGCGCCTTGATCTTTTGCTAGCGAGCAGCGTCACACGATTTGGTGAACCAACCGTTGGATCCTGGTTTAGGCACTTTTACTATATGGAGGATGTATTCGTCCATCTCTACATGAACAATTTCGGTTATCGGAGAACAGACAAACTTTCTTTCCAATGAAAGGTAGATAAGTCTCTGAGCCCCTCCCAGTCGACATGACCGTAATGCCAAATTTTGCGGCCTGGGCGAGTTTCTGCTGCTACAGCGGGTTCTGACCGAAACCTAACCTCCACAACACCGTGGTCTGAGTTACCCAGGGGAGGGGGGGTGTATAGGAAAGCAGTGCTGTAAGGGACAGGATGCGTGGTCAGAAAGAGATGCAACAGGCTAGTGGCATGTGACGAGATGCGGGAGAAAAGAGTAGGGCTCGTCACCAGGTGGGTCAGCCTTTGAGTAAGAGCGAACGCTTCAACAACAGGACCTGCTGAATTGGTCTTGTTTATGCCCAACCAACGCACATTATGGGCAACTACCTCTGAAGCGGGATGATTGCTGTTCAGGAAGCCCATCTTGACAGCGAGATATTCAAGTAGGTCATCCCAGTTATGGTCCGAGGGAGACCGATAAAGGCAGCAAATAAATTTGGGGGATGTTCTGGAGTTGACGCAAAGCCACAGGATGTCCTTCCGGTCTGATTCCAAAGAAACAGGAAAGACTGCTGAGGACAAAAGCCACAACTCCCCCGTTCTTTCTCAGACTGGAGTGCACCTCGTAATTTGGGAAGCTAAGATGATTAATCGGTGCTGACTGAGATTGTTGTTTCCGTCAAGAAAAGCATGGCGGGACGATTGGATTGCAGGTAGTTATGAACTGCATCAATGTCAACAAAATACCGAGATTTTACTGCTTTTAGTAGTTATGTCTTGTAAGACTGCAAATTGTGGATTGTTTTATATACATTGTAATATTATACCGCGAGGTAAAAATTTGGCTGACAGCAGAATGTGTATGAGAGAGAAGCGCGAGAAGCACGCAATATGTATGTTAGAAAGAGTGCGCCGATGGCATCCGTGACCTCGTACTCAGGTTACTAGGCAACGAGGTGCTTCTATTTCTTTCACATACACACATATTGCACGTTTCTCTCTCATACACATTACGACATCAGTGGTATTTGGTTTTCAGTGTACTGGTGTATAGCGGCTATTTCGTTTAGAAGACTGTATTAATAAAATCTAGCGTGTCATGACATTAGTGCAAACGTGAAAAACGTTGAAATTAAAGTATGTCTTTTTTATAAATTAGGCGACACTAGGACACCTCTCGGTTATAAAAACCGCAAAAATAAATTCCCAAGTGAAATATCTTAAAATCGTGTCATATTGATACATTTTACATAACTATTGGCAGCTTAAGCGTTTCTTTTTATCCAGAAGAAATTGAAAATTGTAATTTAAGATATTTTTTATTATATCTCTATAACAAATAAAAATATTGATCTACGGTTTTCTTCATTTGTTATGATGTTTCGCTCTTTCCGAGCAATATAAAAAAGTATACCGTTGTATTTGAAAATATTCAAGAATTTCTGAAAAACAGTGACACATCCATAAAACGATATCTAGCGTCCACAAAGAGATTTAATTTGACAAAATAGAGCATTGAATAGGAGCGCAGGCGCAAGCTCTTTCGAATGAAATCAGGACCACGAAAATCGGTGCAGTCAAACAGACATTATATTACTTTTTCACATTCAACCCTTTCCCCACCCTAAACCAAACAAAATATGGAAAAGTGACATTAAGAAAAAAGTTAGAAAATTGAGAAATCACCATAGAATACAGCTAATAAATCAGTACTTTAATTACACATTTTTGCAAAATAATGATTCCATATTTGAAATCGAAAATAATTTTTAGCAACTTCCCATGGCCAATTTTGTTATTAGATTTTTCAACTGTAGGTTAAGCTGTTGCCGAGATATAGCCTGCAAAATAATGGGTCACCCGGTATATGTCATATACTATTCAAAAAACCTAATATAATTTTCGAAATATCTTTGCAATACTATTTCGTCACCAGTAGGCGTGGGAAGTAAAAACACTACATTACGATTTTCGTTTGTATGGGTTTTCTCTAAAATTGTGTTCATTAGCCCCCAATTTTGACTTCAGATTCGTGTTAAAAATGACAAATACAAATGATCTGTGTTATTGTCGCGCTCAACTAGCTGACAAGTGGATTATACACCTTCTAGTGGAATATGTTATTAATTGTTACTACCACTAAAGTTGCTTATAAAAACACTAGTATTAATAAAAAAAACATTTTTATTTGTACTGATAGTAATGAAAACAGTATTCGCACACTATCACTCATGAATCAGTTTGAGGTACTGCTTCATGTAGCTTGTATGGTTTAGGCCCGACTAAACTTAAAATCACAGGTAATAGCACCACACCGTGGAATAGGCCAAATATTATGACTAGAAAGAATATCTGAAACAGAGAAAAATAAATAGTTCGTATAAATGAATGTCACTTAATAAAACCTTATGAAAACTGCCAAACTGTAGGCACATGCATTGAGTTATAAGATTAAATGATGGGCCTACCACATGCGCAAGCTTCACCACAGTTTTACCTGTGCAGGTAAGACTGTGATGAAGCTTGAACACGGACGTGGCTCCCATACGGCACTTTTAAGTACGCGCAAGCCACATTCTTGTCAAAATCGTCATCGTGGAAACAATGTTTCCCAATGAAGAACTATTTCTCCTGCTGTTACACTCGTATTTTAAGGTTTTGTTAATGAATAAAGATACACTGCTAAAGTCTAAACGTAAACGATCGAAGTGGATGAAGAAATGGCTGTTGAATAGAAAAATTAATTCACATATAAGTCTACGGTAGGATTTAAAAGATGATTCAAAATACGGTTATGCTTGAGAGTATATCACCTCCGGAAAGGCTGACCGCTAATTTAAGGTTCCTGGCTACTGGAAGATGATACCAAGATTTGAGAAAGGTTCCGTAATACAGAGGATTGAGGTCGTGATTAGCTTATTTCTTATTGTGAATGTTGAGTTTGAAAATAGTTCTCTGATTGCGAGTATGGAGAGACTATGGCTTGAAGACTAAACACCCAACCACACGTACAGGCAAGTACGCGCAGGCCAGGCTTGCGCAGGCAAAATTTTAACAAATCAAAACTCGCGCAAGCCACGCTGAGAGGTTCCTTGTACAAACCGGCCTGCGCAAGTTAAACTGTCGTGAAGCTTGCGCGTGTGGTAGGCCCATCAGAAGTGTATTCAGCACTTTTACGGTTCAGCCCGGTTTCCAAGGAGGTTAACTGTAACTTCACGATTAACCAGTTTTAACTATCAAAAAGCGGTCTTCAGTATCAGGTTTGCCATACCCAACAAACATTTTAATTTAAAATTGCGTTAATTCCACCTCAAAATAGGTTGCATGACCAATTTAAAAAAGGTTATATTTAGCGTTGGCTTTTTTCCCAAAGTAGGGAATAAGACAGAAGTAATTAAAAAGTCAATATAAGGTCGATGAGACGTTTATTACTAACAGGTCAAGAGAATAAATAACTATTTGGGTCATCTTGTGGTAAGATCGTAGTAATTTTGCCCTATAAAATCACATGAGTCTGACCTAAATTTAACAATAAAGGAAACATACTATGTCGTGCTCTCTTGCTCATACATACAGTTCGTAAGCTATTGGTTAAAAATAAGATTCGCTGGTAATGCACTAGTCTGTATTCAAGTATGTTAAAGAAACGGCTTCCATTTGTCGAAGTAATTATAACAGAATTATATCAAATTTAGATTTTCGGTCACAAGTGAACGAAACATTTATGAGCAGGTAATTTTACGGTAGTTAGATAC